CCGCCATGTTGCTGCACTAAAACTCGTACCTCCATCCACCGGCGTCGTGAGCTCTCGTCCATTTCTCCAAATCCCTCATCAAACATGTGAGCCATTGTCTACCTTTTGCATTTGATGTGGTTCTGACCGGCTCCAACTTTTTCTGAAAGTACTTGTTCTCAAGCTATCGAGCAGCCTCCTGGAACAGATCAAAGTTACCCTTCACACCATCCTTCTAGAGTAGAATCTCGGCAAGGTGTCGAGTACACCAACGATGGTGCAAAGGTGCATAACCCTCTATCTGCTCTCGCACGGCATTAAGTATGCCCTGGTGCCTATCAGATATGATGCCAACCTCCCTACCAGGCCCAACCATGTGTATCCAGACTAGCCTCAAGAACCATCCCCAACTGTCATTGTTCTCCTTCTGAACCAAAGCAAATGCCAAAAGAACCAACTTGTTGTTCGTGTCACAGGATATGGCTATAAGAAGTGTGCTCTGGTATTTGCCAATCAAGAACATACCATCAATGGAGAAGACAGGACGACAGTGACTAAAGGCCTCGACACACTGAGGGAAGCACCAGAAAGCACGGAAGAATATCTGCCTCCCATCCTTCCATGCATTTGGTTTTGGGATGTACTCATAATGCATGCCTGGATTCACCACTTTGATTGCATTGAAAAGAACTGGCAGCTGCTCATACCCATCCTCCCAGTCCCCATATATCATCTTCCATGCTCGCTGCTTAGCCCTCCATGCTTTACCATAAGTTATCACATAACCTCCATACAACGCCTCAACGGTCCTAATAATTGTCCTCACCTTCATGTTGGGTTCTCCCTGCAAAATTCCCATCAACCGCTTGGCAATGAGGGTAGATGTCAACTGCCGATGCCTCAGTGTCAGCTCATGGTCAGTACAATTGTGTGGCCCGACAACATTTGTGATCTTCCATTTTCCGGTGACCTGTTGCTTCCTTGCACAAACCCTCCATGGGCAGCGTTCCTTGTCACACACAACTGTGTAACGGCAAATCCATCGTGCTCCCACCAGGTTTCGGGCTTGAGATCCAGGGATAGGTTCTTGGTCCGCGACGACGAGACGGCAAATTCCACCCACATGTGGATGTGATGATGCTAGCAGGCCGTGGGCGCTTCCGACGAAATCATTCTGACCTCAAAACGTTTCCACGACGGCGCAGCACTAAACTCGTGTTTCTGCAAGATCGCCGTTGACGTGAGGATGAATCTCGCCACCTGGGTGGTTTCGCTCAGCTCGTACCTCTCGCATTTGCATATCGACACAGCATCGAAGGTTAGCCTGGGGCACGCTGACCACAGACGCATGCATCGCCTCAACTCGCTTGACAGGACGCTACTTCTTCCATTTCTTTTGCCGGCAGCTTCGACACGATCGTGTACAAAATGTCCTGCATGCATGCAAGTTTTTTCTCTCTCTCTCATTAGTACAACATAAGTAGAGAGTTGATTGAATAAAGAAATAATAGATGTAAGTATATATAAGCAATACCGGTGGAAGATCACTGAATCGAAGGCCTGTTGCTGGGTTGTTGTTGTGTTGGGTCACCTCGTTGTCGACTGACAATGCTGCAACGTCGGGGGACGAGGAGAGCCGGCGGCGGAGAGGAGGAAACCACCACATCCACATCCATAGAAGGTTCTAGAACGGAGAGCACACCCCGAAACATGATCCGTATTATTTTCCAATCCAATCAATCAAAAGGAAACAACGGCATGTATTTATATATATACAGACATCTCATGATCGATTTCTGGTTCCTGGCCTCCGGAACAGGAACCAGATCATTCACCGTTTCGGATACAGAACAGCAGGGGTCGTATCGTATTGTATTCTGCTGCGCCATCATCTCCACCTTGTCCGACTCGACCCTTGCAACCAATTGAGATTAAGCGTGGACAGGAGGGAGGAGAACCAGGGTGCGGGCTCAGCCATTTTTACTTTTTAGCCATTTTTTCCAAAATGCTTCTCACAAATAGATACCTGGAGGAACCATTTGTTTGGTCTGGACCTTAGCTCGGCGCCAGACGTCCACGCCGCCGAAGCTCTTGGTTACCTCTGCTATTGTGGAAGGTGACATGGCTCTCTGCTCCCATGCAGCTCTGCGCTTGCGCCAGCCTGGCCTGGCGAAAACGCCCGATTCCTGCGTTTTTCGGTGGGCCTGGCTAGGAGGCGCATCTTGCATTGCGAGGGAAAACTGTCAGCCTCACCTTCCCCATCCCCTTTTTCTTCCCGAAGGGAAAACTGCTGTTGCTGCCTATTCAACGCACGGACACTATGCGGGTCACCCTGGCTTTGCCTCGTCACCAAGCACCCTTGCTCCAACGGTCATCTGCATCCGCGCCTCTATCGCAGCCTCATGACCGTTGGCCTCCCGGTCGTGCCCCACGGCCGCTGCGTTTTCCAGTGGGCCTGGCTAGGAGACGCATCTTGCATTGCGAGGCACTGGCTCGGCCGCTGGTACATACAACCAATCATGCAGACATCGCACGCTAGGAGGTGCGGCACTGCAATGCGTTCGTCCTGTTTTATGAAACAACAGCACAATGTTGTATTCCATGATCTGCAATAGGACGCTTGCTGCATGCAAGACTAGTGCAAAACTCTGGCGTAACTGGCTACCATCAGGGGATGAAGACATCTATAATGCCTGGTGCTCAATTCTTTCTGAGGCAATATAACAACGTGTGCTGTAAAACTGATGCGTAAGCTTTGGAATTTAGCCTTTCGAGCCACTTGAAATGAAATAAATCCACGTCGAGGACCCTCTACCCGCGTGGACTATCAAAATAAAATGGTAGTCGCTCCGTTCCTGAATAAATCATTTTTTAGAGTTATCTTAAGTAAAAAAAATAAATTTGACTCATGTTTAAGAAACAATACAACAATATTTAGGACACCAGATAAATAAATTATGAAAATATATTTTATAATAGTGTATCTATTGATATTAATTTTATGTCACAAATCTAGATGCTCTGTTTTATATATTTGGTCAAACTTAGGAAGTCAAACTTTTATTCAGTTTGACCAAATATGTGTAAATAAGCTATGATACGTATAATAAGTATTAACATAATGGAGCCAGCTCCATCGACGTGAAGTGGGCCGGCCCAAAGTGCCCAATTGGCCATGTCCCACTGCCACAGCACGGTAGCCCGATTCCCCTCCCACTCCCAAGGCACCTTCTGATTCTGGGTTTAACCCCACCTCGCCTAGTTAGCGAGGGGAAACACAACTTAAAAATCTGAACGATGTTACATGGCTTTACTTCCTGACTTGCTCTTGCTCGGTTCATTTGGCTCGGCCGTGGCTCCCAGGTCCCCGGTTGAGCCTGGCCCAAGGCTGCCTACGTCTGGTCAAGCGGGCGCAATTTTTATTTGATGAATTGTAAACTGATTTTTCTTTTTTTTTTTTTTAGGTTTCAAAGAGGCGGCATTCGTGCCTCTCTCACAGCCCCATGGTTGTCAGCCTCCCGCGCCCTCCTCCTCAAGGCAACTGTGCCTAGGCGCCCATTTTGTGTCGGCGGCGACGACGGCCGCGCCCCCCCAACCATGGTAAAGGAAATTTTCTCAAGCAAACTTTTTTCCTAATAAATTAAAAGATGAGTTGAATTCAGCCCCGCTTGAATTCAACACAAGACCATTTCACACGTATTTTGTATTTGATCTAAAATAAAACCCTGGCTCTATCTTCTCTCATGGCATTTTTGTGATTTTTCTTTGGTTTTCTCTGGATTTTAGAAGATCACAGTTTTGCTAGAAAAAGGAAAAACGAAACAAGGAAAAAGGCCCACCATGGGCCAGGTTCGGCCCAGGCGCCCAGATTCAGCCCAAGAGTAATAAATAAATGTTTGGTTCTGCATAGGAGTATACATATCCGTCGATGCACCATGGGACATGGGTTGACCCCTCTAAAAGGATCATCTGCCCAAGCTCGCACATACACACCGGGACGGGACATCTGCAGACCAAAGCGGACAGCACCAGCATAACAACAGAATGATCCAACGATCACTAGAAGGCCGACGACAACTCCGATCACAAGGTACAGCTTCTACTCATGCAGGAATCACCCCTCTTTAGCCTCTTACAACCACAGGCGAACAGGACTGCGCAACAGTCAGCAAACACATACACTGTCTACCAGGACCAAGATGTTACATTGATGCCTCAACACCTCCATCAGACCACAGCCAACCGTTGTCAATAAAAAAAGCAGGCCTGGGGATACTATCATCAACACTAACACATCAAAACCCTGCTGGTGCTGTCGTGCAGATGGGTGCATCATCACGGCCCCTGGTGGATTGTCTGCAAGCGCGGCCTGCGCCAGGGAGACGGAGACCCCTGTGTCCTGCTGGTGGCCGAGGGAGCTGTGTGTGAACTCAGCCGGCAAATGTTCAGAGAAACAGTGAGTACTACTACTGGATTACAGTTTCATACCAATTCACATCGGCAAATGAGAGCCTGAATTTTACTCCCAGCGCAACCAAGAAACGCTGACAAATTTCAGACAATAGAAGTCGAGACAGCAAGGGTCAATCAGACAATATAAGTCCAGAGACAACAAGGGTCGCGTCATTGCTGTAGTACACTGCACTTTGCAGATCCACAACTGTACTACTAGTGTATTATACTACAAGTGACCCTGACACATCCATTCTCAGTAACCAAGAAACACTGACCCTGACTCATCCATACTAGTTGCATGAAGAGCACACTCGACCAATTCACATCGGCAAATGAGAGCCTGGATTTTTTTTTTTTTGCAACAAGGGTCAAATCAGCCGGCAAATGTTCAGTGAATACTACCACTGTATTACAGTTTGCTACCAATTCACATCGGCAAATGCGAGAAACAGTTTGCATTCACAGTTTGCAATGGCTGGCACGGTCAGTATCACACTTCGCATTACAGCTTGGATTTCAATCCCAGAAATCAACAGTATCTCACTATCTCTGTATCAAGACAAGAATCAACGGGGCGGGCGCCCAACGAATTCGTAATCATAGTGCTGGACGAGCGTCTCACCTCCTCTATCAACCAAGAACTCACGGAGCTCATCCCACTGTTGCTGAGTGAGGTCTTCAGCAGGGTCCACCAGCATATTGCTGGGCTTCTCCAGGCTACGCCATTCATCGAGTGCAGCTTGAGCCTCCTGTTCCGTACCCACCACCCTGCAGATGAGTCCAGGTGCCCCCGGCCGGTGCTGCCGCAACCAAGAGGAGACGTTTTCACCGATAGTGATAGAGTCATTCACCGTCTTGATTGCGTTCGCTGCGCTGACCAGAGCGCTGGTGTGAGAGAGGCCCAGGGCTCCTCCAACGAGCTGCACCGCGCCGGGCAGTTTGTCGACGTACTTCCTTCCCTTTTGAACCGCGCTCAGCGCAATCATTCCCACCTGTTTTCCGTCCTGCACTGCGCTGTTCACGGTCTCCATCCACCTCCTCTTGGGTGTACCTTGCAGAGGGCACACGACAGAATCCAGGCACGCACAGCTCTCAACGTCGCCCAACAACTGCACCCTCCGTAGCACCATCCCCGCCGGCGTCACCTCCACACAGAACGAGGAAAACGTACCATCGGCGGGACAGCGCACGCCGAAGACCATCCGGGTCATTCTGTAGGGGTCGACAGGTCCAACGCTCCGAACTCCTTGCAGCGGCAACAGGCGCTCGTCGCAGTGGAAGACCTCGTCGGAGCAGAGGTTGAAGTGGGGATTCCAGCGCAGGTTCTCCTCGGACAGGCACCATAAGCCGATCATAGTTCCGTCGGGCACATCGTAGAAGACGACGTAGATAATCTTGCCTTCGCTGGAGTCGACCGAGGCGTCAGCTTCCTCCTCGGTCTCTCCTCCGCCGCCGCCCTCGGGAGGATCGGGAAACTGGACGAAGCGCGATGCGATCGCCCGCGGATGGAACAGCAGTAGACCGTGGTTCCTGTCGACGAAGACGAGAAGGCCGTCGCCGTGGACGCCGCGGTCGTGCGAGACTACGGAGTTTGCGTGGAAGTCTCTCCAGCGGTCGTCGCCGGCCACCTCCCTGACGGTCCACTTGCTCTCGTCGCTGGAGAAGCAGAGCGCGACCGCGACGACTGGTGTGGAGGATGGCGCGCTCTGCACCTGGGCTACGAAATAGGCGTCGCCGGTGTTCGCCCCGTGGTCCGCGATGATGCCCGTGGGAGCGGCCGGGGAGATGGCGAGGCCGAGCACATCCTCCGGGAACGCGGGCAGGAAGTGCCCCTGCCCTTGGCCTTGCCGGCGCCGCCGCTGCTGCTGGGGACGGGGCGGCACACGAGCAGGTTCGACTCCCCGGGCGCTCGCGGCGAGGGGAAGGCGAGGAGGAGGTGTCCCGACGCGTCGGCGCCCTCGACGCGGCACGGCGCCGTCTCCCAGGCGGCGGCGTCGGGGAGCAGAGCGCGGTCGAGGAAGACTGTGGAGACGGCCGGCGGCGGCACGAGCTCGAGCAGGACGTCCGCGTCGTGGGCCATCCCTCCGAAGTCGGTGAGGCGAGGCGTCCGGTCGAGCAGCACCCAAGGAATGTCGCGTCCGCCCGACTCGCTCGCCCTCGCCCTGGAGGAGGAGGACGACGACATGGGGGCGGGCGGGGCTGTCGCGGGCCCGGGGAGGTTGCTCAGGCGGTTTTGGGGTTGAGGGGTTGGAGGAACGGGGATTGCCCGTTGAATTGAAATTGAAACGAATTGAGGGGATGGGGAAGGGAAGGGCGGTTATATTGCGGGCCCGACCTCGGCAACCGCCGCCGCCGCCTTTGTGATCCAGCTGGATCCAGGTAGGCGCGCCGGTTTGTGGGAGCAGCCCGTGTACGGCCACAATGCGGCCGGCGGGGCTCCAACGGAAAACCCCGTGGGCTCAAGCGGCCACACTGCGTGCACCGACCGGTTCACGAACGCGCGCGGGCTCAGTCAGGTGCTGCGCTCAGGTTCAGTTCAGCAGCGACATCTTCCAGGCCTTCTTCAGGTCGTGCGGCTTCCGCTGCTGGGCTTGCAGTGCTGTCCGAGTCCGATCCTGGATGTCGTGGACGAAGGACGCCGCGTGACCGATCCTGCAGCCGCGTCTTCACGGTGTCCAGTGGCATCGTCACCAGCGCGGCCGCGCTTCCCGCCGCGCCGGCGCTCGCACCCTGCACGGCCATCGCGGCTGTCGTTGTGCGCGGGGCCGACGGCAGGCCAGAGGAGCCGCTCGGGCGGCAGCAACGGGCGCCGTCTGGACCATGAGACGCTGGCTGACGACGTCGACCGGGGTCCACACCACCTGCGCGGCTACGGCAGCAGAGACACCGCCCGCGTCCGAGGCGGCAGCAGAGGCGGCCGGTTCCGCGACGCCGAGGCGGAGCACACGGCGCTCTTGGTGGCCTCGAGCGCCGCCATATAGAGGGCGCGCTCCACGGCCACGGACAGGGCTGGAGCTGGTCCTCGCCGTCGTCCTCCGCACGCGCGCGGCCGTCGTGGCGGCGGCGGTGTTCACGGTGCAGGGCTCGGACGTGGTCACCGTCCAATACGACGGACTGCAGGCGAACTCCATGTCGATGGACGTGCATGCTCCGGCGTACGCCGCCACCAGATCCTTCGTCAGGCTCCGGCGCGCCTCCGATCGCAGCGCAGGAGGAGGTGGAGATGGAGGGGCGAGTGGTGGGCCGGAAGGGGAAGCTGCCGGCTGCGATTGGCATTGGCAGGCAATGGATGGCAACACATGCAGCAAGCTCTGGAGAAATGCCAACGTCGCACGCAAGTATCAGCTGGCTGCTGCGGCGTGCGGCCGCGTGGCGTGGGTGACCTTGTCGTCGTTCGTTCTCGCCGGGGGCGGCGGCGACCGGGCCGGTCGGTGCCGTAGAGATCCGGAAGCAGCGGCGGAGTGGAGGTCCTCGTCCGAGCCCATGCCGAGTTGATGCGCACACATGACAGGCCCGTTCACGGCCAACACGGCGTCGTCACGCGCGCGCCCGGCGCAGTCGCATGCAGAGCGCGCCGCCACGAGGCCGCGCCTCTCGTCGGCGTCCGAGACAGCAGTGCCGGTGGTTGCGGCCTCGCTGTCCACGCTCGTGCCGAACGGAGACGGCGGCGGGTCGTCAGCCCAAGACAAGGCGTTCATTGGCGTCCAGCGCCGCCACATCGCCGTCTCCGTGGAGGTGGAGCCCTCGCAGGCCATGCTTCCCGTCTCATGTTATTATTATTCAATTCAATGCACAGAGCTAGTGTGTGTTGCCATGTCGTGAGACGTGAGGCCATTGAGGCAGTGACGAAGACGACGTGGCATAGATAGATATAAATATAAAAATGGTGCACGTGGCACCTGCTAAGAAAGGCAAACGACTAACGTTCCAGGCAAAGGATTCTGTACACGAGCTCTTGGATGACTTCGTGAATCAGAGTTTGAATCTACAGTAGTGGCACGAACTCATCGTCCATACAAGCGGTACGGACACTGCCCCCTACCGAAGCACGTGCGGACGCAAGTCATCGTCATCTTTGTTGCTGCCACTGCCACGTGCCACCAAGGCCAATGCGGGAGCGCTTCACGTGGTCGTGGACCTGTTCAGGTTCAATCAATGTAACGCCAAAATCCCTACTATAGCTGAGTCCTTGACATTTTCCTATGTTAAATGCATGGCTGACCTCCAACCTATTCGCTCGATCGTATTTGGCTTATAAGCCATGACTTATCAGCTAATAAACAGTATTTTTCTATCACATGAAACTAGCCAACGGTACTTTCGGCCATGGCTTATAAGCCAAACCAGCACAAACGAACAGGGCAATCACTTGGTAAACGATGCACTTGCTCCTCGGCCCCGAAAAAAGTGTCACTTGGTCTATGGTAATCATGCCGGTCAAACTCTTTTAAGTTTGACTAGGTTTGTAGAAAAAATATCAGCAACATCTGTATCTCCAAACTTATAGTAGATCCAAAAACTTTGAAAACATATTTCTAGATCTCTAAACTTGCTAAACGGTGCACCACAATGGTCAGTATGGTCACCAAGGCGCTTTAGCGAGACCATGGCGCAACCAGTGTCCGATTTGCCTCGGGGGCACATCAGCATTGGCGACGACGGGGGGCTGCGGCCCCCATTGGGTCAAAAAAAAAAATTTAACAGCTTTTTAGCCCAGCCCAAAACCGCCAAAAGAGTAGAGCGGCCTCACGGGCGACGCCAGACGACGCATGCCCATGGCGCTCCTCTCGCTGGTCGTCTGCGCAAGATCGCGCCCGCCGCCGCCCACCCGCGCTCCTCCTCAGGCTCATGGCTCGCTTTCGCTGCGCGCGCGCCTCCCTCGCTCCTCCTCCTCGCCTCCTCCTCCCCCCTCCCTCTCCCTCTCTCACAGATTGGCTGGGCCGAGGCCGGGCACTGCCACACGGGCGGCGGAGCCCGGAAGAATGCAGCACTGCAGTGCGCAGCCTGGAGGACGGCGCGCGCCATCGGGCGGCCAGCAAGGGCAGCGTGGCTACACATTAAAGCCCCAAGTCGGCAAGTCCCCAACCGGCCAGCCCCAAGGTGCAAGGTCCCCTCTGTGCGGCTCTGGCCTCTTTAACTCCTCTTTTATTTTTTTCAACAAGGATTCGATTGGTTTTACTTTGTAGTTGTAGAATGGAAAAAAAATTTGCTAAGAAAGATGCTTCTACTCAAGAGAGTCGGGTTGTGCAAAAAAAACCCCGCATTGAGCTTGATATGAATGATATAGTTGGTTGATCCGTGTCTTAGAAAGCCAATTGATGAATTCCACCATGATATTAGGGATGATGCTAGGAGAGCATATTTACAGATGAGTCCATATCAACCAAATTGTGAGTATGAAAGAACAAATGGGTAAAACTCAAACTAGAGGTTTTGTTAAATCATGGTTTACTCAATTTGATTGGTTAGAGTACAGATCTCCCAAGGATGCACCCTATTGCTTTTATTGCTACCTCTTTAAGCCACCATCGCAAGCAATTTTGATGATAATGAGGCATTCACCAGAGTAGGGTTCAAAAATTGGAAAAAGGGAAAGGCTTCTTTGCTTAAGCATACTCAATCAATTGATGGCTACCATAGTGCAGCAAGAAAACGAGCAAATGATTTCAAAAATCAAAGACAAAGTGTAGAACATGTGTGGGCAGTAACAACTGCAGCAGAAGAGGAGGCATATAAAGCTCGTTTAACTATAATGTTAGGCATTGCTAGATTTCTTCTTTTGCAAGCTCTGGCATTTCGTGGGCATGATGAGTCTAAAACATCTAAAAATAAAGGGAACTTTTTGGAGATGCTTGATTGGTATAAAAAGAAGGATTCTAAGGCTGCACTTGTGATAGCTGAGAATGCTCCAGGGAATAATCAAATGAGTTGTCCAACAATTCAAAAAGATTTGGTAAGGGCTTGTGCAGAGGAGACAAGTGAATTAATTAAGAGTGAAATTGGAGATCGTTGGTTTGCGGTGCTTGTTGATGAGGCTCGTGATGCATCAATTAAGGAACAAATGGCCGTGGTTGTGAGGTATATATCATCTATTCGTGTATTTCATTTCTTTTGTTTTGTGGCTTCCAATTAACACTATGTTTCCTTTTGTTTTATAGGTTTGTCAATGATAAAGGAAGTGTGATTGAGAGGTTCCTTGGCCTACAACATGTTTCTGACACCACATCATCTTCACTGAAGGAAGCATTGGTTTCTATGCTTGCGAGATACGGGTTATCTATAGCCAAGGTTAGAGGACAGGGATACGATGGAGCTTCAAACATGAGAGGGCAGTTTCATGGGTTACAAAGGCTGGTATTGAATGAAAACCCTTTTGCTTTTTACATCCACTGTTTTGCTCATCAATTGCAGCTTGTGGTAGTTGCTGTAGCCAGAGTATTGGGGATAACTCAAGACCTATCACAATGTTTGCAAAAGAAAAATCAAAACATTGTTCGTGCAATAGGATTGATTGGTTCTGATGAGAAATATAAATGCCATGAGGGAAAATGGTTGGGATGATCTTTTAGAGAAGACAAAAGCCTTTGCTTTGCCAAACACAATATAGACATTCCTAATATGGAAGATATGATACCAATGAGAGGTCGTTCAAAATGTCGTGGAGCCAAATATGTGACCTACTACCATCATATTCATCATGGGATTTTCAATGTTGTCCTTGATCAAATAATTTGTGAGTTGAACAATCAATTTTCGTAAAGATCAACTCAACTATTGAGATGTGTTGCTTGTCTTGATCTCGACAAATGAGTTTGCCAACTTTGAGATAGAGAAATTAGTTGAGCTTGCTAAGATTTATTATCTTGACTTTAGTGATTATGAATGTGAAAAGCTAAGAACTGAGCTTGAAAATTTCATGGATGAAGTCAAACATGATGAAGATGAAGAATTTTGCTCTTGTATTGATCTTGGGTGGCCTTGCTGAGAAGATGGTTAAAACCGATAGACATACATATTTTTCTTTTGGTGTATCGCCTCATTGAGCTTGCATTGATATTGCCCGTGGCAACAACAGAATAGCTTGAAAGAGCCTTCTCTGCTATAAATATTATCAAGACCGACAGGAGGAATAAAATGAATGATGATTGGATGAATAATAGCATGATATGCTATATTGAGCGGGAT